TTTTTTACAAGCTCAATCTATTCTTCTGCTCTCTTAATGAAGATGTTATTGACCGCTGAGGTTTAGGATTTGGAGGTCCTCGCTGTGCTCATCGCGTACCGCTTCGTCGCGAATATGAAGAGTTTGGTTCGTATTTGTTTTACATATCCTCAAACACGCATGGCATTCATCTGTGATTTCATCTAGGCTGCCCAGAACGTCCCGAAGTATGTGCGAAGCTTTTCGATGATGGTCGATGTGATGAGATATGCAACCGAGAGTCTTGCTTGTTTGATGGCTTCGACTGCGCAAAGCGCAATGATATTGCATGCAGGTGAACATTTCTTTACACTTAAGATTTGGATAGCAGCGTAACGACTATAAAAAATGTCCTTACTTCTTGTAGATCAAATTGAACGATCATTCAGGAATCCTTCTGAGTGTGCATATAAGTATGGGGATGGTAATTGTGACGAGCAGTGTGCAGGAGCAGAATGTGGGTTTGATGGGGGTGACTGCGAAGAAGTGAGTTCAGGCTCTGATGCTAAACAACAACATTTTCAATTTCGGAGATATCTAAATTAGTGCAGTAATACTCACAGTACAAAGGAGGTTTTATGAGGAGGTGTTCTTTTTGGGCTGAGATGAGTACTTGAGAATGATTCGTCATGTTTACAAATGAGTTGTTTATGCCCACTGCCACGCCATTTTAGCCGCTAGCTCTTCTCATCCGAGTAATTTTTAATAGTGAGCACTGTTAACATACGCGTCTGCATTCAAAATAATGTAATTACTATTGAGCAAGCGAGTACAGCTAACAGTGACGGAAACATGATTGGGGTAGCGGTTGGGGTGCCGCCAGATGTAGCTGTCAAAAACCTCAGGCAACTACAGGCCGAGCTGGCACAAGTGAGCACTGACTCACATTGTGAATGGATTTAGCCTAATATCCTTTAAAAATTATAGCGTCTATTCACCCATGTAAGCATAGCTAAAGATAACGAAGGGCTTATGGTGTTTGAATGGAGCATTGACGACGGGCAAGGTAGTCGAATCTCTACCATCGACGAACAGCTAGTAGCGAGGTACATCATGTTTTAGCTCTTTTTATCTTAACATCCGTTTCTTTCAAAATTGAGCTTTCTTCCATAGTAATATGGACGTCACAGCAAATGGCACCATGGTGTTTTTCGATATTGATACCTCTGCCTGCCGACTTCTCCGTCGTCGAAATCATGCTAAACCTCAGTGCTTCACTGATCTCCGCCCTGCAACCACATACCTGACTCTGGAGTTAGCACGCACGCGGCATTTTACCGGACAAACTTTACCGATACGAGACATCACTTGGAGAAAGTATCGAGCAGAGGTTAGTGCTTCTTGACATCTCAGTGTTAGGTGACCTTTCTTTCAGTTCGAAACAGCAAACACGTGGACCTTTCCGTTGACGTCGACATTGGTATCAGTCTGCATAATCACATGCGTAGTCAGCTGTATCATATGCACAGGTGTAATCGTTGCAATCGTAAGAGTGAGGAAAAGGAGGCGAAGAACAATTTTTGC